CTTGATTAACAAACCAGTTTATCCAAAATATACATCAAAAACATGTCTAATCATTAAATCAATATTTTATTCAGTCGTCCTGATGAAGCACATTAGAAGAATGAAAGTAGCAGCAGATCTTAAAATGAATCCAGTTTGTGATGAAAACAGTAACGACATTAATCAGGCTACTTTACTTCAAACTTCAGATGTTTCTGACCTGGATTGATTTCAGTGTTTAGTGATGCAGTAAGATTATCAGACCTGAAAGGATTCACAGACTGCACTGTTGTTGTTGTTGTTGTTGTTGTTGTTGTCTGTAATGGCAGTTCCAGCTGTTTTCTCGCTCAGACGTGGCCGTTAAATAAACAGAAAACGTAAAACAGACAAACGTTAGATGACACGGTGTAACGTTACGTTACCATGACGGCAGCGGGGGCAGAAATTACTTTTACCATGAAGAAGTACTTAGAAAATACATTTTACAGTGTCTGTCTAAAATACTCCCAGACGCTCTGGTAGCTGCTCACACCGGATGCAGCGACGCTTCGACGCACGAAATGCGAGTCGACGTATTTACGTAATCGATCACGCCGACTAATCGCCCCCAGCCCTAAAACCAGGGAGCCTCTGGTCCTTTCCTGTGTTTGGGAAGAACAGCGATGGAATATTCAAACACTCCAGGATTTCGCCGCTCGTGTTGGCAATCCTGATGTGGAGGCTAAAAGGAAACGGGATGTGCGTTGCCATCTTGACAAGAACTGCGGGATGATTTTGTTTCAAGTGAGTTATACAAAGCGATGCAAATCACCCCAGCGCCAGAGTTCAATGACTTGGATCTGCTTTATTTGAGCTGATACGATCCATAAGAATCTTAATGGTTTCCCCAAAGAAATGAGTTCTTTAACGTTAGCATGCTAACATGCTCAGAGCTCCTAGCATGGCTGGAGACTCTTGCCGCTTAACCATTGCTGGTACCAGCTCGACCCATACACCACGAACGGGAACGTGTGGACCCCCACATTTGATCGTGGCGTGGTCAGAGCGTCGTTACAGTTACTATCTTGCAATCTCTGGATAGAGCATTTTAAAAAATGTCGGATTCGTCTGGCGCGCGCAGCGAACAGTGACCTTCTCTCTGACCAGTCGTTTTCACGTCACCGTTTGGCTCCGAGGTGAAACAAAAAAAAACAGGTGGAAAACCAAAAGAGTTGAGCTGAGACGACTGAACACACGGCCATATTACAGAGACTTCCTGGCCTAAATCTTAACTGTTTGGTAACCTTGGTAACAAAGGTCAGGACCTGATTTAGAAAAAAGGTCTTCAGTTTGGAAAGGAAGAGATTTTTCCCAATATATTTCCTAATCCCAAATTGGGAATAATCCTATTTTAGACTCTTCCTATCTTGACTTAAGGCTTAAGATAAGAACTTTCTGTAATACGGCCCCTGGGCCCCTCTGCCCCTGGGCCCCTGGGCCCCTGGGTCCCTCTGCCCCTGGGCCCCTGGGTCCCTCTGCCCCTGGGCCCCTGGGTCCCTCTGCCCCTGGGCCCCTGGGCCCCTCTGCCCCTGGGCCCCTGGGTCCCTGGGCCCCTCTGCCCCTGGGCCCCTGGGCCCCTCTGCCCCTGGGCCCCTGGGCCCCTCTGCCCCTGGGCCCCTGGGTCCCTCTGCCCCTGGGCCCCTGGGTCCCTGGAGCTCAAACTGTCCTGTTTCTGTTTTCTGCTGGTGGAGCTACAGGAGATGTTCATTATATCTATGTTAAGAAATGTAGCTGCGGACCAACGTGACGACAGACAGATGGATTAACTGACACACAAATGATTGAATTATCCGGTTCAACAACGTTCAAACTGTCACAGCGGAGGTTTTTATAATAAAGTCAGCTGTTCCTACGATCTGACTGACAGTGAGGAGAGGTGTGAACTCAGAAATCCTGCCGGACGAACTCCCGCCGAGCTGGGACGTTAAGTCCGTTAAATGAAAAGTGGAGGAAGTAAAGCAGCGGCAGCACGTCGCCGAGGACGGTCGCGGGATTAAACTGAACAAATGGCTTCAGTAATATTTAAGCTCCATTTGGACGGATTAGTTTCTCCACAGCAGGAAGGGTAATTGTAATAATTTAAAATATGAGGAGAGTCCAAACTCAGCTGTCAGTCAGAAACCAGCCACGTTCTGCTGCAGGATTCAAACCAGCAAGTCGACCTGACCTCTGACCCTGGAGCAGTTTATCCTTTATCAAATATAACTTTCAACCTTTTGCATTTTTTATTTCAATTCAGTTCAGCTTTATTGGCGTGAATGTAAAACAACAATATTGCCAAAACTAAAACTAAATTACACAAATTACTTAAATTAACGCACAATTAATTTCATACATTTCATTAGATAAAGTAAATAAAACAGGAAAAGTGTTAAGAATTAATAAAATACTAATAATAACATAAGACAAAATATAAAAATAAAGTAAAAATAAATAAATCAAACAGTAAGTGTGTGTGTGTGTATATTAATAGAAGAAAAATTATTTAAAAAAACTAAAACATCAGTATCAAATGTGAAATTTAAAAAAACTAAATTACTAAAATAACATACAATGAAAATAAGAATGATTTGAAAACTTTAAAGTGCCATTATTTAATATATTTATGATTATTTTATTATTTTATGCCACCAGTGTAGTGAGGTCATTCCTGATTGGTCCCGTGCACTGAGCTCCGTCTGAATCCGCACTTGTTTCTGCTAAATGTCAGACTTGTTTAAAGCAGATTGTTCTCCGCTGAGCTGCCGTTCAGTAACGTGTTCCCGACTGATTAACATTTGCTGCACTTCCTCATCGTGAGCTCGTCGAGTTAAAAGCTTCATGTAAATAAAAGTGATAATTAGTCAGAAATGTCACACGTTCATTAGAAATGTAGTTCAGTATTTACCCCACACTGGCCCACTTCACGTCAACTGGGCACTATGAAGTTACCACCTGCGACCGACCTAGGAAGCACTCTGGAACCCCAAAGCGACCAGCCGGTCACGCTGCCGCCATCACCACAAACACCGCAGTCATAAAAACACTGTGGTCAAATTAAAACTCACTTGATCTCCAAAACCAGTAAAATTCTACGATTCTGGACTCTATAGAAAACATGATGCTCTGACTCTGGTGTCATGATTGATGACCAGCTGTCCTTTTCAGACCGTGTTGCTGCCGTCTCCCGGCCGCGCCCCTTTCTGAGTCGGGCCCTACCTCACTCAGCTCCTGGTCCAGGCCATGGTCACCTCTCGCCTTCACCATCGCAACGCCCTCCTTCCAGCATGTGCGGTGAAACCCCTACAAATGGTTCAGAACGCAGCAGCGCCGTCTGGTTTCTGATCCGCCCAAAAGGACTCAAGTCCCTCCGTCACTAAGCGACCTCCACCGGCTCCCCGTGGCACTAATGCTGCACACAGAGTGACTCCTGGGTTCCCTACTGTGATCTATGATTTGGCGGTCTGGTGCTCCTCCCCCAGGAGAGCCTGAAACATTTCCTGCATTCTGGAGACATTTTCCAGACCAATCTATGGTTGAATTATCTTTTATATATATATCTAAAGAGAAACACAAAATTCAGGTGTAAGTTGACCAAACAAAATATAAAGTAATATAATGTAGTAATCAGTTACTTTCCTGCACATTCGTATCTTAGATATTTAAATTGCATTGCATGTTTCTTATTGTGCAAATAAACCTTTCTCATTTAACATATCGTGTTGCAAGCAATTTATCAGAACCCTTTTAACAAATGCTTTCAAAAAGCGGTGGGGACATGTCCCCAGTGTCCCAGTGTCCCCAGTGTCCCCAGTGTCCCAGTGTCCCCAGTGTCCCCAGTGTCCCCAGTGTCCCCAGTGTCCCAAGTGTCCCCAGTGTAAATGACCCCTATGGTCTGCACCATCTACCCAAACTCCAAAATACAAGCTTGCGTTCCTTTTGGTCATTGCGCTCCTCCAACGAACGCAGCCTCTAGCTTCGAGAACACCTCTGCCCCCCAGTGTCTGCCTAATGGGTAAGAACATTACACAGAACAGCTAACAGCTGTGAAAGGATGTCCGAAATTACAACCTTTGCATAATTAATTAATAACTAATCCATTTTCTTACAAACTCACAGCTGGTCTCCGTCTACGCCGGCAGGGTTTGCACTTTAAAGACGGCCCCTGACTCCTCCTACAGTAACGGGCGAGTCGGACAAACATTCAGTTCTCTGTGCTGCAAACTGCAACGTCATCTTTGGTGATTTGAGTTGATCCGTACAGTGAAATGTCTGCCTGAATTAAATCCCCGAAATATCCCAAAACTGGGAGAAATTGAGGCTTCGACACGGAGCTGTTCAAGGTAGCGGCCGCGAGAACCGACAAATGTGCAGCATTACCGTAGAAAATACAGCTGTCTATTGGCTGACTCATGAAATTATAATTTATAGGGTTTTTTGTATCTTTAAGTAGGCCATGCTCAGTCCTTTTCCACATGCCCCCCCCCATGGTGTGAAATCACTTTAATATGTGCAAATTACAGATAAAATAAAGGGGGGGGGCGTCTTACCCCAAACATACTAATCTAGCATTTTACTACTTTAACCAAACACTATAAAAATCTTTCTCTCTAAACAAACTTATCTTAAGTAAACATATATTTACATTGAACACAATAAAAACGCGACCCTGTACGCAGGATAAGCGGGTGACGATGGACGGACTATAAAAAAATGATACCTTATTTTAAAAAACTTTGAAGAATGGCTTTGATCAAATAATTTAAAAACAAAAAAAACACATTGTGACATTTTGTGTTTTCCGTTAGTTACCGTGGGGGCGGCGTCTTTCCCCGTGTTACCCTACACTCCTGTTTTAAAAATTCGGGTACTGAAGTATTTGTTCTCGTGACATCCCGACTCATCAGATGCCATCTCCGGATTCTTGCTCTTTTGATTTAACCGTATGTTGGGATGTTTTCTTCGCCTTTCCTGATCTTTCGTTCTCCTCTTTGATTTTTCAGGCCTTCGTAAAGGTCGGTTCTGGATCACGCCTGACCCGTACCACAACGACGACAACATCCAGATCGGCCGGGAGGTGAAGATCAGCTGCCAGGTGGAGGCCACGCCGCCCGAGGAGCTGCAGTTCAGCTGGCTGAAGAACGGCCGGCCGCTGAGGAGCTCGGAGCGGATGGTGATCACCCACACCGACGCCGACGTCTCGCCGGGAACCACCAACCTCGACATCATCGACCTCAAGTTCACCGACTTCGGCACTTACACCTGCGTGGCGTCGCTGAGGAACGGAGGGACCCCCGAGATCAGCATCGACGTCAACATCTCATCCACCACAGGTGAGTCCGGCTGGGGGCGGGGCTTAAACACACCTCGCCTGAAGAAGACAGACCTGGGCGTTTATTAAGCTGCTGAGATATTTTACTTGAGTACAGGCCGACTGAGTCTACGCCGCGGGGACATCTTATCCTGACGCGCACCTCTCCAACTACACATCGCTGCGATGGACACAAGAAGACCTGTGATTGGTCGGCTTGGTGGTGTCACTTTTCTGGCTCGTCCTCCTCCTTCAGCCTCGACCAGTTGAAGGGTCGCACCTCCTCCGACGCCTTCTCTTGTTTCTGCTGTTCAACATCGATCAGCTCCAACTCCAACATGGTCGCTTTCAGTCGCCATCGTTTTTAGCAGCCCACACCAACGAAGAAGAAACTCCACACAGTGGAACATGAGCCGCCTACTGTGCTAGTAGTACGGCGTACTGTTTCCCATAATGCAAAGCGCTAGAACTATAACAACAACCGGTCTGTTGTGTAGAGGACAACAACAGAAGTAGTTTTACAATTTTCAAACGCTGTTTCATCACTAACACTTTAGAAAGGAACTCTTGTTGCTTTGTTATTTAGACATTCACAGTTTTGGTTACAGTACTTTTATTTTATATAATTTGTATTTATGCACCAATATACCGAAGCAAACATCTGCTACAGATCGGCTGCAGCCTCGTTCTCCTTAGATAAGATTAAAAAAAGAAAGTGGTACTTTATATATATATTATATATATTTAACTTTATTATTATTATATAATTAAAAATATTGTTTCAATTTTGAAAACCAGAAGCTGAACTAGCACAGGGCAAAATAAATCAATTAAACAGTTTCATACTGCATACAGTGTGAAGTATACAGAACATACTGCACACTGTGGTTGTCTGTAGTATTTAGTAGGCGGTTCTGAATACCGCCATAAAAACTCCGTAGTCTACTTATAAATTGGCCTTAAAACTACTGCAGTGTAAAAGTACTCTGTTACAAGTTAAAGTCCTGCATTCACAATATTAAAAGTAAAAAAAAAAAAAGAAGTAGTAGCGTCAAATAATTATTATATATAATTAAAGTATTGAAAGTATAAAAATATGCAGAACGATATGTTATATTTTGGATTATGATTATTGATGCATTAATGTGTCGAAGTAAAAAGTACAATATTTTCCTTTGAAATGTGTGTTATGGCAGAAAATTGTGTCCTCTTACATTCAATCTTTTACTGTTATTATTATTATATATTGTGTTTTTATCCTTAACCTTTGCTCTCTTGTTATGTTAGTCTGTTTACTGGGGTTTAGGCCGTTCCTCCCCTGGAATGTTCATTCAAGGCTCAGAGAGGATCTCTGTTCCCCAAATCAGAGATGTTCACACCGTGTGAATGATGATGCAGCCGTTTGCTCGGGGCCAGACGTTAGTGACCGTCTTAGGAGACAGAACCTCTGGTCCAGCTCATTCTGTTGTAGTTCTTCTCTGTTTATTCTCTTTTGTTAAACAAATTCTTCAAAGACAACGGTTCGTTGAACTCAATTATTTGCTCAGCGCCTCACCAGGAATGTAATTTCCACGACAACGTAGTGGTGTAGAAGTATCACAAAAAGGAAATATAGCAAAGTACCTCGAATTTGTACCTGAGCACAGTCCAAACGCCCGTAAGATCTGAGGCGTCTGTTTGCAGCTCGGGGAGACTCATTCAGCAACAGGAAGAACTGACACTTTAGTAAAAACCGCTGGATATCTGATTCTCAGAGTTTCCTCCGGGCATCAAAAAACTTTCCTCTGTGATGCGGACGCCTCCTTCCTTCCTCTGGTACTGCAGCAGCGCCTGAACTCTCTCAAAACTCTGCCGAGAGAAAAGAAGCAGAACTTCTCCTTCAGACGGACGTCATGTCGATGAGCGTCTGCTGCCGGCGGTGGACTTCCTGTTTGTTTGTGACCTTGGCAGACGGGAGGAAACATTCAGAGAGCCTGAGAGGAGGAGGGAGGCAGGGAGGTTTTAAATCGAAGCGTCGCTGCAGTCGCAGTCTGAACGCCCGCTGACGGATGTTTCGTGTTAAAGCAGAAGGTCACGCTCGGGTCGCTGCTGCATTCCCATAAGGAAAATAAATGCTAAAACAGTCCAGCAGCCTCTCTCTGCCTCTCTGCCAGCTCGCTCTCTCTCTGTCTTTAAATGAAGGACAAACTCCACATCAAACGTGGAAGGTTTCCTGCTTCTGCTTTATTTCTCTCCGCAGCGTCACGTCATCCTCCCTGCAGCGACCTCTCACCCTTTCATCATTTTCCTTTTGTTCAAAGCAAAGTCAGACTTTTGAAATCTAAATGAAGGCGTCATTAAAGGGAAGAACTTCTCAGAGGAAGATGCAACAAGTGAAAGCTGGAATAAATAAACCTGTCTCTCTCCCTGCAGTTCCTCCGGAGCTCACCGTCCCCAGGGGGCGCTCTCACCTCATCGCTCAGGAGGGCGACACTGTGGACCTGCAGTGTCTGGTCTCAGGGAAACCCAAACCCATCATCCTGTGGTCCCGGGTGGAGGAGAGCGGGGGGGCGGCGGCGGTGGCGGCGGCGGCTCTGATGCCGGACGGCTCGGCTGAGACGGAGAGCTACGACGGCGTCCTGAGGATCAGCAACGTGACGAGAGAGATGAGCGGGACGTACCGCTGCCAGACGAGCCAATACAACGGCTTCAACGTGAAACCCAGGGAGGCGCTGATCCAGCTGGTGGTGCAGTGTGGGTAACGCACGCACGCGCACACACACACACACACACACACACACACACACACACACACACACACACACACAGTGGCTAATACTTAATGGTCGGGATGCACCGTACGTTCGGCCTCCGAAATGAATTTCTCTGCTGTTCTGCTGAACTGTCTCCATCTGTGACTGACTTCTTAGAAAAGAACCACTCTGAGTGTTTCTGTCACTCGTCTGTGAGGAGATGAAGCTACATTTGGAGTGCGCACGTATTCCAGCCTTTACGGTAAGTGTAGCGGCCCAGAGCGAGCTGACGGGCAGGTTAGAGACTTTATCCTGTCAGTTTGTCTCTTTAGTGTGAAGAGAGGCTGTGAAGTCTTCATGTTACAACATTATTTATCAAACCGGGTCGGACTGGATGGATTCTGCGCGAGGAGGAAACACATGTGACAACGACCGGTTTTCAAAATAAGGCGTCTGTACAGGATGGAAATAAGATTAACTGGATTATATTCACAGAAAGAAATTACACGCGTCCATTAAAAGGAAATGGACTCGTGATTTACTTTACTGGACCCTCTCGGGCCCCGGACCCCCCCACCGTAGTCTCTGCACATCCTGTGGGAAACACTGAGGAAAAAACTCATTCTGACTATTTAATTTATGTGATGGAGAGAAAAAAATAAATGTGAAAGTACTTGTTCAGTATCGGAAAGTTTTTCATTATCTTCGGTTTTGGCAAAGAATTTTCATTTTGCTGCATCCCTACTTATTGCTACTTGTTCAAACATGCGACTCCAGGAAATGACATTAATGAGGTCGTGATGGAGATTCTGCTCACTCAGAAGCTCCTCCTCCCAAAAAACACGTGACAACGTGCTTGTCAATATTTAAAGATGCGCTGAAGCAAAACGCTAAGCTGAAATCTAGTCCAGCTGCCTAGAGTTACGGCTGTGCCACAGTTTTCCTCGTCCCTCAGCGCGGCGTCACCGTCCACTGGAAGCGTCTGAGAAGCGTTTCAGCAGCCTGCCCCACGTTATTGACTTGTTTGTTATTTTTGTGCTTCACAGCTCTCTGTGACGCAGTTTTGTTCGGTTGTCATTTCAGAATAAGAGCGCGTTGACTGATTCTGCTGACATGTTGAAATTTAGTTGAGTGCTTATCAGCACTTTTGGTGCTTCTACTGAGGCTGTGTATATATATATACCGATATAAAATTAGACAACGCCGTGATATAGTTTAATGTTGAGTTAATTAATATTTGTTTGTTAAAGTCCTGCCAGCGTTTGCTCGTCTCTCGCACAGCCCCACCCCTCCCTCTGCGCGACACGGAGGCAAACACAGTCCGGTGTTCTGACGAGCTACGCTGCCCTGACGAAAAATGCTACCATACGTGTTCCCTTTTCCAATCCCATAAAGGTAGAACTCTCACAGTATTATGAGGTTTTTTTGATTATATTTTAACATCATTTCAGGGGCAACATTTTCTGATCGACTAATATCCCCCATCACACAATGCTCCCACCACAGAATCATTTTATATTGCACCACTACTACTGCGTAGCGTAAATCGAAAGAACACCGGTGGACACTGCTGAAGACCTGGCTTGTAAAAAGAAGAACGACGGTTCAGTCGCTGTTTCCCTCACGCGCTTTACTTTGACGGCTGCACAGAGTGATTACATCACAATCACAACGCGGTGGAGATTTTACAAGAGCGGACCAGTTAAAGCGGTGAAATAAGAAACAAGCTACTACAAATAGTAGAAACGTCTTCTCCGGGTCAGACTGGCCTCCGTGGGTCTGAGAGGTCGTGTTACCGCCCCCCCCCCCACGCCGTCCCCTGACAACGTTTCCGGTGACGGGAGAAAAGATTTCAGGACGTCACGTCCTCCGTTTGTCTTTCCTGTCAGAAAGTCTTTTTCAAGCTGAAACCAAATGTAACATCTGCTGCAGATGTAAACAAACACCAGCGGGCAACAACTGTGCTGCTTTGGCCTCTAAAATACCCAGAATGCACTGTGACGTCAGTTCCTGAGCCCGGTGGAGGAATGTGTCACATCATCCAATCAAAGTGCATCACGTCCGGCAGAGCAGACGGCAGCAGATCTGGTTTCTAAAAGCGTTTCAGCTGAAACGGACACCAGCAGGTAGACGGTTCCACGCCTCCGCTGACGGACACATGCTGTCTGTCAGCGGCCCGGGATCCAGTCCGCGGCCTCGCAGTCACGCTCCGTCTGACCTGCAGGGCGCCGTGTCGCACAAAATACCATCAGAGGATATGACAGGAAGCTGCACACACACCGCTCGCGGCTTCCTGCTGCACTAAAAGGCTGTCAGAGCGAATCTCCTCTGCAGCTCGTTCTGATTCTCCGGAGAATCGATGCAGAAACTCAGAGAGAAGCCGAGCGGGTTAGGACACAGACTGCAAACACAAGCAAACAAACAACTCGCCCAAACTTTAACCGGCCCTTTACATTAAGAGAGAAGGTTAATCAGCCAGACAGGAGGCACAGCGTTAAAGCCGTCCTGACAGCCACCTTTCATTTATATCAGGATGTAAATAGAATTCCAATAAATATAACGAAACAAGCTTCAGAAGTAAACTGCCTTTAAAAAGCTTTATTTTCTTTAAAACGTGTTTAAAACCAGAATAACCTGCTGCAGTAACTCTGACACAACTCTTATAAATACAAAGAAAAACGCTGCATGATAATTGAATTAACTAACGACAGAAGTAAATAAATATTTACCTATTTATACTATACAGGAAGGAGGACACTCCTTTAATAAGTCAGTCAGTTTTCAAACAGGTTTGAAGACGAATCTAAAGGGGAGGGGCCAATCAGGGCGCACGAGGAAGCGCCTACACTGCAAAGGCGGTTTTTCCTTCTAGTCTACGCCTTGGCCGACGGTCTCGTGCCGTCGGGAACGTTTATGCTTCGTTGGCTCCGCGTCGCTCTGCAGTCACAGTGGGGTTCCTGTGTTCCACTGAGTTCTTCTTCGTTGGTGTAGGCTGCCACAAACATGTCGACTGACACGTCGGAGCTACTTTTACTGAAATTACTAAAACGCTGAAACGAGAAAAGGCGACAAACACGATGAGATTTACGACCCTTGAGCGCTACGCCGTAGATTCGACGCAGGAGTAGAAATTGGCCTTTAAGACCTCCTGCTACCTTTACGCCTCCCGTCCAGACTGAAAAGGAGAAGGTCAAACGCTGCCGACCCCTGCTGGGCTTCTTCACCGTCGCTGTTCTTCTTCAGCCGAATCTTCTGCCGCTGCGGAGTAGCCCGTCTGCTTCCTGTTTACACGCACACGCTCGGTGTACTGTGATGACGGCTGCGTTCCGATCCACAGCGTGCACAAACGGCACTTCCTGCTCATGGAACTTCCCTCGGAACACGCTGCAGCATCATCAAAGCACCCGCCAGCGACGTAAACACCTTTACTGAAATTAAATACTGAATATGTATTAAAAACTGATACAATTACAAAACTTATTTCTAACCATTTCTATTCTATTAAAATGTGGCTGAATGTGATTGGATTCATTTTCAACATCTGCAGCGTCATTCATAAAACAGTTCATATGAGCGTTGTTGCTTTTAGGCAACCTGAAATAATCAATAATTACAGATATACAAACTCTTTCGTCTGCTCCAAAGGCTGATGGGTAATCTTTCTTCTCAACTTCCTGCGAACTGATGAACCGTCTGTCAGTGCCAAATACGTTCCACCAGCAAGAACCGTTCTGCACATGTGCAAAAGCGTCTGCCAAAGGTGACCACAAATGTGCCTGTCCTCAGGGCGTCCTTCAGAAAGGCTGACAAAGCGTTATTTGACGCGAAAGGAAACCTTCATGGTAGTATCGTTTCAATCACCTACACAATCCTCCGTACTGTTCGTATCGTCCGTCACCACTCTACAAATAATCCTCAGCTACTTAACGCCAAAACCAAATGTCCAGACCAGGATTCTTTTGCCCAGGAGACGCCCCGGTCGGAAGTGCACTGAAGCTTGTTGCTGACTTGAACATTCATTTTTGTTTAATTGAATTATTGATTTTGCTGGACTGAATGAAATGAATTGTTACTTTGAAAGAGCCTAGTTTTGTGTTTTTAATACTGAACATAGAACCGATACCCAGAGAGGACAATCTGAGTTGTTTACATAGCGTTTTTCATAGTTTTCAGTCACGTGACATGCGCGCTGACCTGGAGGGCAAAACAAGAGACCAACACCGCGATTCCCCCGTAGAGACGCTGCAAAAGCAGTGAAATTTTATTTGGATTTCTACCGTTAAAAAGCGCCAGGTCCCCGCCGCCGCTGGACTCCGGTGATATTTACTTTTACCTTGTGGGGAATCCCTCGCCCTAACACGGCTCAGGCGTGTCTCCTCCTCGATCAGTGCACCAACAACCATCCAGCATTTTGGATCACTTGCTTCCTGGCTGACGGGCAGCGGATAATAACGTCATTATTGAAGTACAAGCTGTTTTTTGAGTTGTTTTTTTTTATTACCCTGTCAATCATTCAACGTGAGGCGCCATGTTTTGATAAATGGGTCCTTTGTGACATTTGACTAAAGGACATCACATACTGTATGAACCAAAAACCTGAATATGTTATATGTCAGGAGAGAGACCTGACCAGCACCCCAGACACAAATAAATGAAGTCAAGCTGCCACATGATGTGCGATTTCAGTCGCTATAATACAGACTGAGATCAATTCTGATTTGCAGCTGCATTGTTTTTAAACAGAAACTATCTCTGTCCACAGCGGATGTAGCCTCGGGAACAAAAGCTGAACCAGACAGACGTTCAGTGAAATTGAAAACGGGCCTTAACAAAGACTCTTTTTTTTTTTTTTACTGCTAACACTTGTTTACTTTCTGCAAACATTTTAAATGCATGTTTTCACTCCGGTCTTCTTTAAATCGTCTCTTCTCTGCACGTCCTGCGGCGTGTTTGCTGTTTTCACTGTGCAGCAACACTAAGCAGATTAAAGTGAGCGGTGAGTACAGGTG